CGGGCCGGCCGCTGCGGGGCCGCCGGGCTGGCGGCGGGCGCTCCGCCTCGCCGGGGCGGCTGGACCCGCGCAGCGTTGCGGTACGAGATGCTTCCCTTGTAGCTGACGCGGAGCACGGCGCGCTGCTGGATGAGCTTTTCCAGCTCGGCGCGGGTGCGCTCCGGCTCCGGGCCGTGCCGCCGGCGCACCATGCGGCAGATGCGCTCCAGGTCCGGGCGCGCCTTGCGCGAGCGCAGCGAGTCGATGGTGTCCAGGATCCACTCCTGGTAGCGGGGCGCCTCCTGGCCCGGGGGCGGCGGCGGGGGCCCGGCCATAGTGCTGCCGCCTCCCCCGGGGCTTCGCTGCCCCTCTCCGCCGCTCCGCCTTGGCCTCCGCCCTCGCTCGCACGGCGCGAACTGGACCCTCCGCCCGGCAGACGCTGCTGCTGCTGGAAGCGGTGGCGCGCGGGCTGGTCCGGGCAGCGCGAGCTCCTCCCTCCCTTCCCCCAGTCGCACGCGCCGCCGCCTCCACCACCGCCCGAGCGGGACCCGCAGCCGCTTAAGGAGGCGCTGTTGCCTCCCGTAGCCTCCCTACACTTGGCGGCTTAAGGTGGAGCCGGAGAATTCCCTCCGTCCCCTTAGCGGCCGCGCCACAGAGCGTTTTCTGGTCGCCTTCGTCAAAAGCGGCCGTCGGAAAGACACAAGTCTACTCCATTTATAGCAGCAGGAGTTGATTCCGCTGGGAAGTGGGAGAGCAAGTTTGTTTTTTTTCCCCTGCCCGGTATTCTTCTGCGAAGCTTAGCTTTGCTCTCTTGGCTCGGCCCCTTCTTAATCTCAACAAACGGCGGAGCCTCGCTGCTTCGACCCTCCGTCCCCCACACCCCCAACGGAATCAATTCGGCCGCCGGCCCCCGGTTGTTCTCAAAACCACAGCAATGCCCATCTGCCCCTCAGTGCTTGGAGGTGTGCTCGCTCGTTTACACTCCTCTGTTGCCCACAGCAGCAAAATGGGAGCGCTGAAATATGAAAGCCGTGCCGAGCCTCCGTCTAGAGAAAGGACATGGGGGGGGGGGGGGTCTCCTGGCTGCCACTCCTTCAGCTCAGACCACACTTCTCACTACAGGCCTAGGCTACACAGTTAAGGCCACCGACATGGGCAATTACATGGAATAAAGCACTGTTGAATGACTTACTTCCAAGTAAATATAGGCAGGATCAGGCAACACTACTTTTAGTAAGCACAACTGAATTGGCTTCCCTGTGCATGCATATAGTCTGCCCTTCATCCAAGACTGGCCTGTAGCTGTGGCCCACATTTCCCTAGAAATGTAATGAAGAGAGTCCAAGCTTGAAATGGTCTCTTGTTGAGTCTGTTGTATTTCCATTAGTTGCCTGTTTGGCCAAGCCCCAGGTGCACATGATAGGATGAGGCAACAAAACATAATCTGATGTTTATATATGAGAAAGTAAGTAGGATCAGCTGCCACCCCATGAAGGTGCTAGACCTAGAAAAACTAGGGTTCCCTGGAGCAGGGGCCTGAAATCTTACCTGCCTATTATACTTACCTGTTATAAAACCCACTGCTGCTGTTATCTCACATAAAGGGAAACAGCAGCAGAGGTCAGAAATCCCTATATTCTTTCTTTGGAGATTGCACTGACATGAAAAAAACAAAATACAAGAACATTGCGGTTTTTAACTCTTAACACTCAGTCTGAAATCCTGGAATCTCTCAGACGCAGAACAACCAAAAATCAGAATCAAAGCCTAGCAGATTAACTTCTGTCTCTTGGCAATGGCGAGCCTCACAATGAACACAACATACAATCTATCATTCACGAAGCAGCCAGCTTGACTAAGTCAAGTAAAGCCACGTCTTTTCCCATTCCATCACTCCCATCTGCTCAAGGGCCATTCTTGACGAACACCCCTCGACCCTTATTACAGTCTATTCTTCATGGCTAAACTGCCACCAACACTTTGGCATTAATGGCTGACACTACCAGCAATTTTCTTGCTCTGAACACATACCTTCCATAAACACGACTGGTACTACATAAATTATAAAAGTCAGTTTCCAAAATTTGATTATATTCTGACATGATCAAAAGTCAAGATGGAGCTATGCAGATAAAGAGACTAGACTATGTAACTAGAAGCAGGCTTGGTTCTCAGAGAGATCCCCTCCATCACTAGGGCTGTATTGCACCAGTGCTCAGAAAACCACTGTGCTATAACGCATAAGTCCTCCCCACCCCCTCACAACAACAGGCATCAAGCTAGTGCTATTAATGATAATCCTTTTTGTGCTACAGCTAGGAAGAAAAGCAACTCTTTGAACTTAATGGCTACTAACAAGAAAATTCATGGCAGTCTTTGCACTTCTGTTGTGGATAGTTTTAGTGAGTTAGGTAACAATATAAAACTTTGCCCTTTAAACTTCCAAATTTCTGATGCTATGTGAAATCATTATGACAACCTGAGCATAGCACAGGCCACACATCTACACATTGGGGATGGTCCATAATGCAGTTTTCTGTTAAGCTCAAGCAAGTAGATAGTGACACTATAGTCCCAATTCCCACCTTGTAACTAATTCAGACTAATATCAGGTTTGTGTGCCTCTTTAGATTCAGTTACTCTAACGCAGTCACATCAATCTACATTGTACAATACTAAAACAGGGCAAAATTCCACTTTTCTTCATTCGTAAGTTCCCAAGAATGGAACAAATACAAGATATAATAATCATAAGGGTCACAGGCAACAAGGACTCCCATCCATCCCTGTAACTGATGGGAAACAAAGGCACAGGAAGGGGAAGTAATATGCCCATGTTCAGAAGCTGAGTCAGCAACAGGAAGTGGTCAGAAGTGAACTGGCTTCCAGTTCTTTTTCAGCCCTCTCCTTTGGCAACCACCAATAAAGTACGCTATCATTCAGGGTTTTTTTTTTTAAAAAAACACCCCATCTGTATTTATGTCAAACTAAAGCATTTGTGCCCCTGAGGTTTTGTTTTAAAAGACTGCAGCAGAATTTACTACTTGTTTAATATCTAAATTTGGCATTTGAGGCTTTGCCTTAAAACACCAGGCTTGAGGGTCCTGTTTTGTTGGCAAGCATAAAAAGGGTTTCTGGACTTCCTGATTACTAAGCAGTATGGGCCAAGCATAGTTTCTGTCCTGTGTGCAAATTTCAAATCACATGGATACTAACAAAACTTTAGGAATGCTCACTCTAAAAAGAAATGTCTGCAGACTCTCCTAAAACAGTGCTACAGATTGCAGGCCCAGCTTTTAAATCTTGGTAACAGCTAAACGAACAAGGGGACATTAAACAACATGGTTCCTTACCTAGTGTAACAGAGCCAGTCTTAAGCAAAATGTAAAGGGATGAGATGCATAGCAGGCAGTGGGAGCAAGTTCAAGTTTGCATTGCAACCCCAAAGAACATTCTACAGCCTTATAACATCTATATGTAGAAGAGCTTCTGTCACACCTAGGAGCTCTTGTGTGCTGTCACCGCTATACCCAAGTGCAGGACTTGTGACTAGCCTCTTTGGCTATAGCTGTTAGCATACCTGGTTTCATTTGAGTGAACAGATAATGTACATAGTGAGCATGTTTTCTTTTTGAGCAATCCTGTTGAAATCATTGCAGTTGCACTGAGGATTCCAGTTTCCCCCATCTCTCTTGCCCCATGTCAGGCAAAGCCTCCCCTGCTTCATCATAAGATCAAGAATGAAATTGTGTAAGAACAGGGACCAAGCAGGGCATCTGAGCGACCAGCAACATAATAGTTCACAAAGAACTGAAAGAGGCTTTACTTCCCATGGCACATACCCCTTTCTTTTGTTCCACTGCCACCACTGGCCAAATTTTTTTTTGCAGGTTTTTAAAATCATACAAAAACTAGCCATATCAGTTCACCAGAGGCAAAAAGTGGAGTCCCTCTTTGTCTTCAACTCTTTGAAAAATGTTTTCTGTCTTCAGCCTTAGATTGGAACATGAAGATGGCAGCTGTTTTCTCAGAGAAACCTTCCCTTCATGTGAATCAGATAGGCAAACAGCATGCTTCAAACTTTTTGGGTTGCATTCCTTCATAGCCCAGTCCCTGATGTTGGACACTCATAGAACTCAGTCCTATTTACTCTCAAAGAGCCTATTTGCCCACTTATTGCTTGATAACGCCATTTAAGGAGACCTAATTGACTCCTTCTCAAACCTCCCTGAAACTGATCAACTAGGCTGGAATGGCTTCGATTTAAACTTCTAGAGTCAAAGAAAGCTCAATTCAGCCAACAGTTACCTATCTCAAAGGAAGTTACCTCCCAAGTAGTCGAACTAACAAATCTTGCTCTCCCAGCAAACATTTTGACTGATACTCCAGCTCCCAATGCCGTAATAGATTATCTCAGTCATAAAGAAGAACTACTTACTAACCTTTCAATGGACCACTCCATGGATCTAAACTGTACACCATCAGTACCAGGAGTTTACCTAGCAACGGCTATATCTTTTATGATCCTAAAAGGGAGCTGGACAAGATATTCAATGACTGACAACTAAAGTTGCTGTTGTGGAATTTGGGGGGTTGGCACAGCAAACTCTATGACCCAGAATTTTCTGAATTTTTACGTAATTTTGATATGCTTTTCTTGCAGGAAACTTGGCTTCAGGATCCAACTTCCTTAGCTCTTCAGGGTTTTAGGGTATTTACCACTCTGGCTTTTAACATTTGTTCTAAGGGGAGGGGAAGTGGGGGGCCTTGCAATTCTGACTACGATGGATCTAAATCTAGAAATTCAAAATATTGCAACCCCATGCCCTAGCTATATACAGGTTTTATTGATTAAGAGCGAACACTTGGGCACTTTCTTATGCTTCAATGTTTACCTTCTCCTTAAAAGTTCTAAATTGCAAGATAAAGGGAAATTATAGGAGCAATTGTTTACAGCCTTTGAAGACTTAACTTTTCAATATCCAGATTCTGAAATTATTTTCTGTGGAGATTTTAACACCAGGATAGGGCCTGACAATACAGGTACCCAAACAGACACCAATATTTTGGTGGTTGAACAAGCTTCCTTACTAGACCGCTGCTCGATGGATTCAACTATCAATAAGTCTGGTCTAAAATTTTTAGATCTGCTCTCCTCATTTAATTTATATAATTTGCATGGGTCAAAATTTGATAAGTCCAGCAGAGCCTATACATATCTATCTACCTTTTACGGAAGTACAATAGATTGTATCACAGTTTCCTCTGCACTATTAGAGCATGTGAGCTTCTTTGAAGTCAGTGACAATCCTGCGAGCGATCTCTGTCCTTTAAAATTGGTAATCAATTGCAATAACAAAATTCTTTTGACCCCTTCTCTTGAAACTCCTGTGGATGCATCCGTAGGCTTTAGGAGACTTAGGTGGACTGACCAGTTGCATAACACAGTTTCATTAACCCTGAATCCATCCGACAATTCCTCCGCCAATCAGCTACAAATACGATTGAACATTATGAAAA